CTTTGGGTCTTCTAAGTATACCATCATGTCATCTGCAAATAAAGATATTTTTGACACTTCTTTGCCTATTCGAATGCCTTTAATATTGTTCTCTTCTCTGATTGCAATAGCTAAGACTTCCAGTACTATATTAAAGAGCAGTGGAGAAAGTGGGCAGTCTTGCCTAGTACCTGTTTTCAGAGGAAAAGTTTTCAACTTTTCCCCATTCAGTATAATGTTAGCTGTAGGTTTTTCATAGACTGTTTTTATTGTGTTCAGAAATGACCCTTCTATACCAATCTTACTGAGAGTCTTAATCATAAAAGGACGTTGTATTTTATCAAATGCTTTCTCCACATCAATTGAGATGATCATATGGTTTTTATCTTTCTTTCTGTTAATGTGGTGTATTACATTTATGGTCTTATATATATTGAACCACCCTTGCATCCCTGGTATAAAGCCTTCCTGGTTGTGATGAATGATCTTTGTTATATGTTGTTGGATACGATTTGCTAGTATCTTGTTGAGAATATTTTCCATCTATATTCAGAAATATTGGTCTATACTTTTCATTTCTTATCCTGTCCTTCTCTATTTAAAGTATAAAGGTGATGGGGACATCATAGGATGAATTTGGGAGAGTTTCACCCTTATGGATCTTATGAAATAACATGAGTATAATGGTGGCTAATTCTTCTTTAAAAGTTTTGTACAAATCAGGGACAAGCAGTTGGCATAATGGCTATGTTGCTGGACTCCCATGTAGTCAACCACAGTTCGAGTCTTGGATCAGGTGGCTTATATGCACACCAGATGCATGTGCGTGCGTTTCCAAGATCCCGAGGGAAGAATGGAGGAAAAATAATTGTGGCCAGTCTAACCCCCCTGTGGGGTGATTTCTCTCTTTCTGTCTCAGTCTCTCTCTGTCTTTATGGCAAGAACTCTCATCCTATAGCAAAATATCCTCTCCCCCCCAAAAAAAAGACAAGTTTTATTGAATTCAGAGGTGAAGCCATCAGTACCAGGGTTTTTCATTGTTGGGAAGTTATTCATTACTGATTCAATCTCATGGCTTCTTATAGGCCTATTGAGATTTTCTGTATCCTCCTGACTCAATCTTGGTAGGTTATATGTGTCCAGGAATTTTTCCATTTCATCCAGATTTTCTTGTCTATTGGCGTATAGCTTTTCATAATATCTTCTAATGATGTTTTTTTATTTCTATTATGTCTGTGGTTATATTGCCTACTTCATTGCAAATTTAACTTTTCTGGTTCCTTTCTTCTTCTTAATCAGTCAGGCTAGTGGTGTGTTGATTTTGTTTATCTTTTTAAACAACTAGATTTTACATTTATTTATTTTTATATGCTTAGATTATTTTTTATTCAATTTATTTCTGCTTGGATCTTTATTATTTCTTTTCTCCTAATGTTTTTTGATTTTTTTTGCTATTGTTTTTCTAATTTTCTGAGGCATGGTGTTAGGTAGTCCGTTTGCTTTATTTCTATCTTCTTCTTATGGACATACACTAATTTCTATAAACTTCCCACTTTTGAATGCTTTTGCACTATTGCAAATATTATGAAAACTAGTGTACTTAATGTCATTGGTTTTCATGAATCTTTTGATTTCAGTCTTTATTTCTTAGGTAGTTGTGAAACCATTCAGGATTAGATTATTTAGTTTCCATGTATTTGTGAATTTTTGAGGAGTTTTCTTAACTTTAATATCAAGTTCCATTTCATCATGGTTGTAAAAGTTGCTCAATATAGTTTCTGTGTCTTTCAATCTGTAGAGGCTTGCTTTGTGCTCTATCTTTGTAAATATCCCATGCATGGGTGAGTTAAAAAGAGTACCTCATGGTTTTTGTGTGTAAGGTTCTATAGATGCCTGTTAAGTCCATTTGATTTATGGTATCATTTAGATCCTTTATCTCTTTGCTTATTTTTTGTCTAAATGATCTGTCCAAAGGTGATAGTGTGGTGTAGCAGTCCCCAACAATTAATGTGTGAGTCTATTTTTCCTTTTAGAGCTGATACTCTTTCATTTTCATATCTGGGTGCTCCTGAGTTAGTTCCATATTTATAAGCATTATGTTTTTGATGAATTAGCCCTTTTACTACTATATAATACCTTTCTTTGTCTCTTCGTACAGTTTTTGGTTTAAGCTCTATTTTGTCAGAAATTATTATTGTGACCACAGCTCTTTTTTTGGTTCCCATTTGCATGAAAAGTCTTTTTTTAGTCCTTCACTTTTAGTCTATGTACATCTTTATCCATGAGATGTGTTTCTTGTAGGCAACAGATGGAGAGTTTCTTTTTTTTTTCTTTTTTTTTCTTCCCCAAATTCAGTCTTCCCTAATTCAGTCAGCCAGTCTGTGTCTCTTGATTGGAGAATTCAACCCATTAACATCCAATGTTATTATCAATATTTCTGGACTCGTACATATCTTTCAGTTGGCTATTGTTTGGTTGTCATTTATTCCCTTATTTCTGGCTTTCATTCTTTAGTTTTTGTGGAACACAACTCTTTTTAGAGATTCTTTTTTTTTTTTAAGAGCTTTTTGCTATAGGGTGCGTGTGCTCACCAGAAAGACAGAGAGAGAGAGAGAGAGAGAGAGAGAGACAGAAACGAAAGCGACAAATCACCCCCTAGAGGGGATGATCACACTATAATCCCTTCTCCTCCATTCTCCTCTTGGGATCTTGGGCATGCATGCACACGTGCATGGCATGAGTTTAAGCCACCAGGTCCAGGACTTGAACCATGGTTGACTACATGGGAGTACAGTGACCTAGCCATTACTCTAACTGCTGGTCCCATCTGTTCAGAGATTCTTGAAGAGCTGGTCTGGTGTTGCCAAATTCTTTTAGGTTTTGTTTGTCTGAGAAGATTTTAATCTTTTTTTCCCCCCATGTAAAGGATAATCTTGCTGAATATAATAATCTTGGTTAAAATTGTTTCTCTCTTAACACTTCGAATATGTCTTTCTGTTCTTTCATTGCTTTCAGTGTTTCTGTTGAAAGGTTGAGGAAATTACCTTTGTAAGTCACTTGATGTTTCTCTCTTGTCAATTTTAGTATGTCATCTTTATCTTTGGTTTTGGTCAGTCTGACTAAGATGTGCAGTTGAGAGGATCTTCTTGGGTTGATTCTCTTTGGGATCCTTTGTGTTTCTTGGGTCTGGAGGATGAAGAGAAGATGACAACATTAGAGGGAAGTAAAAGAATATGAAAGACGAAAAAAGAAAAAGTCATGCATCGTGCTTGTGCATGCTGTGCGATTTTGGCAGGGGGATGCAGTTGGAAGTGTGCTCTGCTTGAGATCTGGAAGCTACCTTATGGGGTAAGAAGTAAAGAATTAGCATAAGAAAGATGGAGAAAAAAGCAGCCTAACTTTCTTACAGGGAGGAGTATTCCTTTGATGTTGGTAGAGCTGGGCTGAAGCTGGAGCTGAAACTGAAGTTTAAGTCAAAGAATATCCCTGCCTCAGTTTCCCTTCCTGGGGATGATTTCTTGTTTTTGTCTTTCTGTATCTCTCTGTCGCTCCAGCAAGCACACACATCCTATAGGAAAAAAATAACAGTGCTCTCAAAACTATTTTTCAAACAGAGGACAAAGGCTACTTTACTGCAGAGGTTTAGAAACCTTATTTACACACCTCCATATTAGTAGTACAGAAAAATCTCTGAATAGCAACTAAAGTTTAATCCTTTCTGTGTCTTGGCTTGACTGAGAAGTTCATCATGAATTACATGACCTTACAGTATTTTCTAATGCTCTCCTCTGTAATTAGGTACCATTGGGAAAACTACCATTTTGTATTGGCCTTTCTCTTTGCTATTGAAAAGATCAACAAAAGTCCCCTTCTGCTCCCCAACATTTCTCTTGGTTTTGATATCTACAATGCATTTCCTGATCACCAGAGGACCTTAGAGAATGCTCTACTTTTGCTTTCTGGAGTGAATCAGACTGCCTAAATACAACTGTGAGGTGCAGCAAAAATTTGTTGCCATCATTGCAGGAAACATTCCAATACTTTCAGCCCAAATTGGAACTCTTTTGGAGCTCTACAAAGTCCCACAGGTAAGTGCTTTGTTGGGTTGCAAACTGGTCTTTAAATCTCTCCTAATATGATCTTCTCACTTCTTAGTAAAGAAAATATGGAATCTGTGTGTACACATTCTTAGAGAGTTATAAATAGATAACAATTTCCTGGATCATGGGATTATTCACAGTGCAAAATGAGAAAGAAACAGGGCAGTGAAATCTGTGAGGCCCCATTCTGTCCATGGTCAATAATTCTACCTCCCATTGTTATGACTAGTTATTCCTGAAAACTCAATGATGTGTGCCTCCTAGAAAATGTACACAGCACAGAGAACAACCCCTTCTTGTGATAGGACATTATCAAGAGCATTTAGAGGACAATGAGAATTGTGAAGGTGTAAAGACCTTTGTATCTACTTATTTGAGACAAATATGATGGCACATTCCAGCTCTGGAGATCCACTACATTGGTGATGACTCAGGTATATCTGCTTTGCTTTACCAGCTTCCTTGGTCCTTCCTTAAAAGCAAGCTGTTGGGTCACTGAATGCATTTCCCAATCATTCTCCACATTAAAACCTTACAGCGTAGAGATTTTTCCAAGGGAATCTGTCCCAGAGCAATATTCAGAAGACATTACTGGGAAATAGAAATACCATTTGCTCAAAGGAAGTATGTCTTAGAAAATTTTTATTTTAAAAATATCAGAGAGGTTAAGTGATTGTATTTTTTTTTTGTCTTTTTTTGAAGAAGTTTTTTCTTCCACTATAGGGCGTGTGTGCTCACTGGACAGACAGGGAGAGACAGAGAGACAGAAAGCGAGAAATCACCCTCCGGGGGGATGGCCACGCTGAAATTCCTTCTCCTTCATTCTCCTCTCAGGATCCTGGGCACCCATGCACTTGCGCCCAGTATGAGTTTAAACCACCGGGTCCAAGACTCGAACCACAGTCGACCACATGGGAGTCCAGCAACACAGCCATTATGCTAACTGCTGGTCCCCAGATAAGTGATTGTATTTTAAAAAAACACACAAAGGTTTTGTTTCATGATAAGTTTTCGGTGTCAAAATATTAATAATAAAGATTTAGCCCCCAGAATTTATATTTAACATTGCCTCCCAGGCAAGGAAGCCTCTGATCTATATGTCACACGCACCCAGGATGGCAGAATTACCATTTTTTACACCATCTTTATAAAGTTTATGTTATCTTCATTTTGACTGTAGAATATGAAGGGTTTATTGAATCTTAAGGTTTTGCGTTGTTCTCAAAATGATTATATTGACTGTAAATAGTCACACATCCTTTTCTAAAACATAGGGCAATGAGAAACAAAGTCTGCTAAAGCCTGTAATGATAGAAAGGGGTGATGTTTGCAGTAGACTTTTTCTCTTCTCAAGATTCCAGTCTGTGGGTCTTAACAGGTAGAGAACACTCTCCCCTTTGTTTAAGGAAAAAACACTAGATCCCACTGTAGTAAACAAACAAAAAAATATGCTATTTGTTTTCTCATCCAGATCACATATGGTCCTTCTGATGCCACCCTAAATGATAAAGCTCAGTTTGCATCAGTTTATCAGATGGCCACCAATGACAGCTCTCTGGCTCGGGGAATAATCTGGTTGTTGATGCATTTTGGTTGGACATGGGTGGCACTTTATGTATCTGATGATATGAAAGGGGAACAGATTCTTCAGGTTCTAAATGCAGAGATGGTAAGAAGGCACATCTGTGTAGCTTTCACAGAAGTACTCCCTCCTCGATGGGGTATCGAAACATCCCATGATATTAGGACCAGAACCAGAGTTTCATCTGCAAATGTGTATATAATACTTGGTGATGAAAATAGTGTCTGGAACCTAGCAATCTTAGAAGAATTCTATTTAATTTTGGGAAAGGTGTGGATCCTGAGAAATTTCAGCTCATTACAGTGGAGAAGACTTTTGTCAGTCAAATCTAACCAGCCATACCTTTTCCATGGAAGCCTATTATTTTCAAAGTGGTAAAGGAGAATTCCTAGCTTTAAACAATTTCTCAAAACAGTCAGCCCTTTCCAATACCCAGAAGACTTTTACTTACATGAATTATGGACTTCCTTTTTGAACTGCTCAACTGGCCTATCACTATGTGGCAAAATTAGGCACTGTGCACCAAATTCTTCCTTAGAATTTATGCCATTTTCATTGAATATTATGACCATTTCTGAGTTCAGCTTTTTAATCTATCATGCTGTGTATATGATGGCCCAAGTCCTTCATAAGATGGTCTTGAAGAAAATAGAAGCCTATGCTTCTTCCCTGGCAGGTAAATATTTTCCACAACTATCATATGCAGTGGACACTTGATACATTTAGAAGTATTTTATTCAAATATGACATAATGATCATATTCACTTCTCAAGATTAACAGAATCAAGCGAAATGGAAAAATGTTCTTTTTATATTAGGTATATGTGTAATTTTATATTTATTAAGAGCATTCTGCCATTGGGGGTTGAATTTTAAGATACATAGCTTTATCAGATAAATATTTCCTAATGTATAATGAAATACTATATACATCCAAGAAAAAGACTTTACAAAACACAGCAAGGTAAAAAGACTTTACAAAACACAGCAAGGTAAAAAATTGACCAAATCTATATATGTTTCCTAAAAATGCATCCACTGTCGACACCAGGCGGACTGAGGCTGCAGGCCCGACCAACCTGGTACTGTCATTCATTGTCTGATCCATTTCCACTAGCCTTTGGAGTGTTTGAATTTTGGTGAGTTGAGTAGCGCGCGGTGCGCGATTTTCTTTTTCCATTTTGTTTTTCTTTGCTCTTGGGGTGTTGCTTGTTTGGTCAGTTGAAGGCTCACTACTCCTTAGAAACAGCGAGCACTTTGGGCCTTCCAGGGCTAGTGGCAACAGTTAATGGTAATTGTGAGTAATAGGTAGGCCAACCATAAGAGAAATCATCAATCTTCTAAGCCTGTACAACTTTTATGAATCAGAGATACCTGAAATAAGTTGGCAAGAAACATATAGATTACCTGATGACTAAAAACAATCGCAAAGGCTCAAGAAATATGAGCAACCAACAAAAGGCCTCTCCGTCAAGGGAAATCATCAATCCTACATCACCCACAGTCAATACAATGGACGTCGTGGACATGTCTGATAAGGAATTCAGAATATTTGTAGTGACCAAACTAACTGAGATGGAAGAGAAAAGAGACAAGGAGCTCCAGGAGATGAGGAAGTCCTTTAATGACTTGAAAGAAGAAATGGATACCCTAAACAAGAACCAGATGGAACTTCTAGGTTTGAAGAATGTGATAGAGGAAATCAAAACCTCCCTTGAAAGCATTAAATGTAGGTTAGACCAGGCAGAAGACCGAATCTCTAACGTAGAAGACAAAACATCTGACCTAGATAAAAGTATCAAGAAGATTGAGAAAACAACCATGAAAAATGAGGATAATATACGAGGAATACTGGACACCATCAAGCGCCCCAACATTCGGATAATTGGTATTCCGGAGGAGGAAGAAAATAATAAGGGCCTGGAAAATTTATTCCATGAGATCCTGGAAGAAAACTTTCCAAATCTAGAAAGGCATTCAAATATCCAGACCCAAGAAATACAGAGGACCCCAAGTAGAATCAACCCAAGAAGATCATCTCCAAGGCACATCATAGCCAGACTGGCAAAAACAACAGATAAAGACAAGATACTAAAGTTGGCAAGAGGGAAACGCCAGGTTACTTACAAAGGTCACCCCATCAGGCTAACATCGGATCTCTCAGCAGAAACAATGCAGGAAAGGAAAGAATGGGGAAGCATAGTCAAAGTGTTGAGTGAAAAACAATTTCAACCAAGAATACTATACCCGGCAAAATTATCTTTTATATGGGAAAAAAAGATAAAAACATTCTCAAATAAACAAAATTTGAAGGAATTTACCAACACCAGACCAGCTCTTCAAGAGGTTTTGAAGGGAGTACTATACCAGGAAAACTAAAAAATCAGAGACAGTTATACGAGAACAAAAAACAACTAAGAAAATGGCTCACTTAATGATAGGATCAGGTATGGAAATATCGATAATTACATTGAATGTCAATGGATTAAATTCCCCAGTTAAGAGACATAGACTAGCTGAATGGATAAGAAAACAGAAACCCTCTATCTGTTGCCTACAAGAAACTCACTTTATGGATAAAGATATACATAGACTAAAAGTCAAGGGCTGGAAAAAGATATTCCATGCAAATGGAAATCAGAAAAAGGCTGGAGTAGCGATATTGATCTCAGACAAAATAGATTTTAAAACAAAGACTGTAAGAAGAGACAAAGAAGGGCATTATATAATAGTAGATGGGGTAATCCAGCAAGAAGATATAACCCTTATAAATATCTACGCACCCAACTCAGGTGCGCCTAAATATGTGAAGGAAAGACTGCTGGAGCTAAAAGGAGACATAGGGAAAAATACTATAATTGTTGGAGATCTCAACACCCCGTTATCTCCTATAGACAGATCTTCTAGACAGAAAATAAATAGAGAGATACAGGACTTAAATGATACTATAAATGGAATGGGCTTGACAGATATCTATAGAACTTTCCACCCTACATCCACAACATATACATTTTTCTCACCCCGACATGGAACCTTTTCAAAGATAGATCATATATTAGGACACAAATCAAGCCTTTACAGATTCAAAGGCATAGAAACTGTACCCAGCATCTTCTCTGACCATGATGGAATTAAACTCAAGATTAATTTCAAGAAACAACCCCGAAAACACACGAACACATGGAAACTGAACAACCTACTTCTGAATGACTTCTTCACTACTGAAGAAATTAAGGCTGAAATAAACAAATTTATGGAAACAAATGATAATGAGGACACAAGTGTCCAGAACCTATGGGACACAGCAAAAGCAGTCATAAGAGGGAAATTCATAGCAATTAGTGCACATAAGAAAAGGATGGAAAGATGGCAAGTAGATAACTTATCATCATGCCTCAGAGAACTGGAAAAACAACAACAAACGAACCCCCAAAATGCCAGGCGAAAAGAAATAATAAAGGTTCGAGCAGAAATAAATGAAATAGAAAATAAACGAACCATACAGAAAATAAATGAAAGCAAAAGCTGGTTCTTTGAAAAGATCAACAAGATTGATACTCCATTGGCTAGACTGATCAAGAAGAAGAAAGAAAGAAACCAGATTAATCAAATATGTGATGAAACAGGCAATATTACCACGGACATAGCAGAAATACATAATATCATTAGAGGATACTATGAGCGACTTTACGCCAACAAACAAGATAACCTGGAGGAGATGGACAAATTCCTGGATGCATATAAACTACCAAGATTGGATCAGGAAGACATAGAGAATCTGAATAGACCTATAACAAGCCAGGAGATTGAATCAGTAATTAATAATCTCCCAACAAAGAAAAGCCCAGGCCCAGATGGCTTCACTTGTGAATTCTACAAAACTTTCAAGGAAGAATTAACCCCTATCTTACTAAAATTATTTCTAAAGATTCAAAAGGAAGGAAACCTTCCAAATTCATTTTATGAAGCCTCCATCATCCTCATCCCCAAAACAGATAAGGATATGACAAAAAAGGAAAACTACAGACCAATATCATTGATGAATATAGATGCGAAAATTCTCAACAAGATACTCGCAAATCGTATCCAACAACATATAACAAAGATCATTCATCACGACCAGGTAGGCTTTATACCAGGGATGCAAGGGTGGTTCAATATACGCAAGACCATAAATGTAATACACCACATTAACAGAAAGAAAGATAAAAACCATATGATCATCTCAATTGATGCGGAGAAAGCGTTTGATAAAATACAACATCCTTTTATGATTAAGACTCTCAGTAAGATTGGTATAGAAGGGTCATTTCTGAACACAATAAAAGCAATCTATGAAAAACCTACAGCTAATATTATACTGAATGGGGAAAAGCTGAAAGCTTTTCCTCTGAAAACAGGTACTAGGCAAGGCTGCCCACTTTCTCCACTGCTCTTTAATATAGTACTGGAAGTCTTAGCTATTGCAATCAGAGAAGAGAACAGTATTAAAGGCATTCGAATAGGCAAAGAAGAGTTGAAAATATCTTTATTTGCAGATGACATGATGGTATACTTAGAAGACCCAAAGGTATCCATGAAAAAACTGCTTGAAGTAATAAGTGAATACAGTAAGGTGGCAGGATACAAAATCAATATCCAAAAATCTATAGCATTTCTATTTATGAACAACAAGTTGAATGAAGCAGAGCTGAAGAAAGGAATCCCTTTCACCGTAGCCACAAGATGTATAAGATATCTAGGGATAAACCTAACTAAGAAAGTCAAAGACCTTTATAAAGAAAACTACGAGAATCTTAAAAAAGACATTGAAAGTGACATAAAAAAGTGGAAGGACATCCCATGCTCCTGGATTGGTAGAATTAACATAATCAAAATGGCAATTCTACCCAAATTAATCTACATGTTTAATGCAATTCCAATCAAAATACCAGAGATATTCTTCAGAGATCTAGAAAAGACAATTATAGAATTTGTCTGGAACCATAAAAGACCTCGTATTGCAAAAGCAATCCTGCGTAAGAAGAATGGAGTAGGAGGCATATCACTCCCTGATCCCAAGATATACTATAAAGCTGTGGTCATCA